CCAACCCCCTGCCATGGGCAGGGACACCTCCCACCAGCCCAGGTTACTCCAAGCTCCGTCCAACCCGGCCTTGAACACCTCCAGGGATGGGGCAGCGCTGAGCAGAACAGGACAATGACTGTTGTCTCTCTGATGGTGAAGTTCCTGGTGATTCAGCCCAGCGCCCCGTTGGCTTTCTCTGCCACAGCAGCGCTCTGCTCACTCGTATTTTGTTGTCCCCCATCACCCCCAGGGCCCTTTCCACGGAGCTGGTCCCTAGCTGGGTGGATCCCAGCCTGTGCCGCACTACTGGGTTACGTTTTGCAGATGCAAGACCTTACACTTGTCCTCATTGAACTGCATGAGGTTCTTGTTAGCCCGCTCGTCCAGCCTGTCCAGGTCTTCCTGCAGGGTGGCTCTCCCTTACCCAATGTTCGCTATCCAGCTCAGTTTGAGTCATCGGCAAACTTCATCAGGGTACACTTGATCCCATCATCCGGATCACTTATCACTGTTAAAGAGAGTTGGAAAATGGCCATGGGGTCGGACTGGGGCCACGGAGAGGGGAGAAGTGCGGCCACAGGGTCAGGCTGGGCCGGCATCCCAGAGGGATGGACAAGGTGTAGGGTGAGGACCCCAGGAGTGGGGCCAAGCAGCTGGGGCTGTACTGGGGTTCAGTCTGGGCTGGGGCTCCACGTCCAGGGTTCAGGATGGATCACACTATGACCCAGGGATCTGGCTCAGGAAGGGGGGGCCGGGCAGAGAGGGGCATCCCTCACCATGTCCCTGGTTCTTCATCCCTACTCCAAGGTGTCTGTGTAGCCGGGTATGGACAGTCTGGTGGGAACGAGATCCTGCAGCTGCTCCCACCACCGTCGCTGCAGGTGAAGGAGACCCAGGTGGGTGTTGCAGCCGAGGTGGCACCAGGTCACTCTGTCCTCCTTCGCCTGGTGTCTTCAGAGACCGGGCTGTGCTCCGACGGGCTTCACAAGCTGTTACCTGGTCTCTGTTGCTCTGACAAGGGCTTGGCCGGGTCTCGAGCAGCTTTGGTTGAAAGGTAAAGCACATAAGTCACTTGACTGCTGTCCAGTTGAGGTAGCACAGGTTGGCACACCAGTCATGTAATCCCGCAGCGTTGCGGGCAGCTTGTGCCGTGAAAACTTCATCTCCAGATGTGTGAATGAAAGCGTTTCGTAGGGAAATAGGACAGATGATGACACCAAGGCAAATGAAGAAGGGTCTTGCTGAGATGCCTGAGCCTGGGGCGCCGGGTGACCTCTACGCTAAAGTAGAAGGTGGCGTTTGGTCACGGGGTAAGCAGAAAGCTCCTGGGCCAGACTTGCATGGATGGCAATGAACCCAGGCAGAGCTCTTGGCAGGAGCTTTCTCCAGATTTCTTTTCCTCTAGCTGTTTTGAGATCCTTCAGCCCTGTAGCTCCTCTGAAATAGGCATTACTGGACAGGCAAGAGCTTTACTGGGAGTGTGTCTCTTGTCTCTGTCTTTTTTTCATGGTAACTGACCACACCGAGTTCTGCACCATTACATGTGACTTTTCCTCTGATTTCCAGGGCCTGTGTCCAGAGAGAGATTTCAAGGTGGAATGTGGTGGATTTTCAAACCGCCCGGTGTACAGCCTGAAATACGTGCCGGACACCAGGTATGACCGCAGAGTCCTTCCAGGGCATCCTGGAGATGGAAGGGGAACTTCTCAACTGAGAGAGTGCTCCTTTTCCTTGCCTGCTTCCCAACCCAGCTGGTCAATCCTGCCAGCTCTGAAAGCAACGTGAGTCTGAGAGGGGATTTGCTGGCCAGTGACACGTGGTGGTCCTCCCAGAACCCTGTCGTGGTGTTTGGAGAGGAGCCGTCTTTAGGGGTGCTCAGCAAAACGGCATGCACCCTGCTGCTGCGGTAGTGAAAGCTGCAGCGTGTGTCTTGGGGGGCAGCCGACGGGGAAACCGAAGCTGCTGCTGGATAACTTGAATCCTCGGCTTTTTCCAGAAGTGAGCCGTAGGGGCCGCTGACGTTGATGCTGGCTCACCAGGGATCCCTCCCTACCCCGCTTCCGAGCAACGGGGGCCCAGTATGACTTCTTTGCTCTGCCTCTGCCGTCCCTTCCTTCTGCCTTTGGCACTGCTTGGAGGCGTTAAAAAAAAGGACTCTTACGGGGTCCTGCCACCGCTCTGTAAGTCCCTGCGTATGCAGGTTCAGAAGGCTTTTTCCCTGCTGTGGGTTGTAGACCAAGCAAACGCGCTTGCCTCTGGCTGATTCATTCCGCTCCTTCAGCTCTCTCCTCCTACGCAAGCCCCCGTTGCTACTTTGGGGCTCTTTGCACCGTTCTTAGTCTAGCGCTTTTGGAAAATGTGCTAATTAAATGCTGTTGCCTGGGACTGTGTTTGCCTGGGCTGTGAAGAGCACCCTGGCATGAGGAGTTCCGGCGTTACCGTCCTTATGGCCACTTCTCTGCTCCAAGCAGAGGCAGAAGCTCCTGAGCACAGGAGGAGTGGCAGACCAGTTTGTCCCAGGCTGGAGGGGAAATAAAAAAAGGCCGTTCTCTGCTCCTGAAGAGTTATGTGGGGTTCTCTTTTGTTGGTTTTTTTTTTTTCCCCCTCAGCTTACTGTGACGAGTGGACCACCAGACAGCTCCCTCCAGGTCTGGCAGGTGTCAGCAGAGGACTCTGGTAAGGAAACGCATTTCTAAGCTTGAGTAATTTCTCAGTGTAGTCCTTGCGTCAAGCACCTCTAGCTTCCCCTTCTTTCTGGGCATAAAATGAGGAGAGGAGCACCAGTCCCGTTCAGTGAAGTGCTGAGTGACTGCTCTTGTGTGGCAGGGGCTGGAGAAGGGCACGAGACAAGTGTCTACGCCAATTCTGGTGGCTTGGAAAGAAATGGACTTGATGGCACAAACCTCGTAAGGGAATTAGTAGGTTTAGGCCTGTCACGGTGGCTTTCCACTTATTTGCGAGCTCTTGGTCATACATACAAAAGCTCTAATCATAGTTGGCACAATGTTCCCTTCGTGACTCCGAGGGTTAGAAATAAAAAGCTGCGTACATCACCTTTCAGGATATCGAATCGTGGAATCATAGAGTAGATACACCATCAGCCGCCTCGGTTCTCCGAGCCTATTGCATCCAGCTCTGGAACCCCCAGTATAGGAGGGACATGGACCTGGTGGAGCGGGGCCAGAGGAGATGTTGGGAGGGCTGGAGCCCCTCTGCTGGGAGGACAGGCTGGGAGAGTTGGGGGGGTTCAGCCTGGAGAAGAGAAGGCGAAAAAGGGGAGAACACAGAGCCCGCATTCAAGTGATGGCGCTTCATTAAAAATAGCCCAGGGGAAATTTGGATTAGATATTGGGAAGGAATTCTTTGCTGTGTGGGTGGTGATCCCCTGGGGCAGGTTGCCCTGAGAAGCTGTGGCTGCCCCATCCCTGGAGGGGTTCAAGGCCAGGTTGGACGGGGCTTGGAGCAACCTGGGCTGGGGGGAGGTGTCCCTTCCCAGGGCAGGGGGGTTGGAACTGGATGATCTTCAAGGTCCCTTCCCACCCAAACCCTTCCGTGATTCTATGTCTGCCTGCATCTAGAAAGGATTTCCGTTGCTTTGTCTGTTCTTGTGAAATACTTTGAAACCACCAGAAAGGAAGTGCAAAATGCTATTAGTTTATTTTCAATGAAGAAGAAAACATCTTGATTGACAACTCTCCGTGCATTTTGCTAGATTTTAGAGGGCTCGTTGTCAGTCCTTGCTGGATGTGTTGGAAAGAAAAATTTTATTCTGGAGAGGGGGTTAGTCATAATTGGATTTCTTGTTTGTTTAGTAGGTCACTTTTAGCTTTATGAGGCTGTGAAACAGCTTAATCTTGTGGATTACTTGACTCCTGATGTGTTTTACAACTGCTTACATCTCTTTCGAATAGATGTTATTAAATCCGTGGGTGCTATATCTACAGAAAATGCCACTGGGCAACCTTGGGCTAAAATTGCAACCATTTCGGCCAGAGCGCCGTGGGTCCTTCACGGCTCAAGACTCGACAGCGTCCAAATTACAGAGGTTGAATCGAGGAAAAATGTCTACATGGCAGGTATTCAAACGGAGTCTGATGACTGATTTTTGTAAAGTTGGGGTTTGGGTAAGGCCAAGGGTAACTGCTCAAGTGGCAGAGGTTTCACTGGGTGGGTAATTTCAGACGTGGGCCAAAGGGTGTAAAGATATTTGCAGAAAGTACATTGTCTTGAGGAAAGAGGTTACAATGCTCTGGTCCGTCATCTCCAGCTTCTCATTACTCCCACGACAGTGATTTCTCGGGCTTCTGCCCCAGATCTGTGCCCTGTGAGAGCACTGTAGGTGGTTTCGGTGCAAAGAATCGGGTTAGCAGAGGGCTCCCGTGTGTTGTGCCGAATGAGGGAGGAGCTGACCCCGGAGTCACGTCTCCTGGGGTCGTTGAAATCGGCATCGACTTCTGAGTGAGCTCTGTGTTACTCTCTGATCCGTCCGTGCGGACGGGAGGAGGATCGTGCCAGCCCCGTTAAACCAGCCCTGCCTTAACTGGAGGTGGTGAATCCATCCAGGTCTGGTTTGCTGGGTGTGCTGGAGATCTTCTGCCTTCACCTACCCAGTAAGATTCAATCCCCACACACCTCATCCCCTGGTGAGGAAAACGTGTGTGTGTGTCCAGTGACTGTAACACAGTGTGCTGAGCAAAAGGAAGGTCTATTTGTCACTGCTCTGCTGTGTCCCCGTGCCGTAGGGACTTGTGGGGCTCCCACTGCTGAGGGATAATGCTGGAGGCATCTGCTCTCAGAGCGCTGGTCCGTGTCGGGTCTCCCATGGGAGCTCCAACAGAGATAGTGTTAGTCGTGGGGCTGCCTGTCTCCTCTGCCTGGGTGTTAACATCTGCTTTTGGGGGGCACAGACTGTCCCTGCTCCCCGTGGACTCCGCGCAGAGATAATTCCCGAGCTCAGACTCTGCTGCTGGCTCTCTTGAAGAACTAACTGGCGTTGCTTGAAAGCCGCCTCCAGGGACGAGGCTGGAAAACGGCTTTCTCGGGCAAGATGGCGGCAGAAAAATCATGCAAACGGCTCCTCCTGTCATCTGAGATCTGCCTCTCTTTTCCAGCCTCCCGAAACAGCGAGGAGCTCAGCGGCCTGGCGTTCCTGGATTGCAACACGTTGCTCCTCTGCTGTGCCAAGGGGCAGCTGTGCCTGGCTGACGTTCGGCAGCCGCAGAGTCCCTTGGAGGCTGCGTCCGTCCCCTCGGCGCCGTGTGGCGAGCGGTGGTGCATGGGAGTCGGGCGCGGACCTCAAGGCTCTGACTCCATCTCCCGGCCCGTAGCTCGCCTCTCGAGCGGAGGGCACCTCACCCTGACAGACCTAAGAAAAACCTCCGAGTCCTTGGCCTCGGCGAAGTGCAGAGTGCCCTCTTCCAGCTCGGGTGCGGAATTCCTGTGCGTCTCCTGGGCTCCTGTTCTGGAAAGCTGCCTTGCTGTTTCAGGTATGTGCTTTGGGCAGAGATCTCCTTTTCCGGATGTTTTTTCAAACTGTATTTCTATCGAAGCCCACTTCGCCCCACCTTACTTTAAACCCCCCCGAGTTAGTGGGAGGTTGTCGAGAGCTCCTCCTGGAGCCGGCGGAGATGCGAGCTAACCGTCCTCTGCAGGCTGCATCTCTCCGATGACTGCAGAAGGGACCTGGATGGGTTCTGGGGGACCCCCGCTTCCCTCCTGGGAGAACAAAGACCCCAAGCCCTTGGCAAACACTGCCCTCGTAGTGCCAGTGACAGCCTGGCCGCGAGGATACTGCCCTGATAAGACCGGGTGGGCAGCGAGGCTGCCTCTTGGCCAGGACATTGCCAAATTCACACTGGTGAATCCGCAACCTTTTTGGATCTGGCCCGTGTTCTCCCCGGCAGCTGTTAGTTTGAGACAAGCTCCTCGGAGGCTTGGAAGCTCTGCTGTCACAGGGTGTTAGTCTGCGCCTTTGTCCTCCTTTTCTGTCTCAGCTCACCCCCGCTGGGAGGTGAGCGTGAGCCCAGTCGGACTAGAGCAAAGCAATTTAGTCCCGCGGTCTCTCCGATTCCTTTTTATTCAAGGTTTCGATGGCACCGTGCATGTGTATGACGCGCAGAGCTGGGACAGCTCTGGCGGGGAAGCAGAGCCCGTCTTTGTTCACAAAGGCCACGCGTTCGGCGGCTGGGACGGCAGCGGAGGCCCTCCCTTGGTCACAGCGCACACGTGGCATCCGCAGAAACCGAGAACTTTATTGTCGGCGGCAAGCGACGGTTCCCTGCACGTTTGGGACTGGGTTCAGTCTTGTGGGAACTGTGGGTAGATCATACTCGCAGTGAGATGTGCTGTGTTTCCTGTCTGTGTTCGAGTTTGCGTAGGCTGCGAGGTGTCTGTTTGCACGCGGGTACCGCTTTGAGACAGTTGTAGCGAACGGAGCCGATTGTAAAGAGCGTTATTTTAATATAGTAAAAAAAAAAATAAAAATTTTGATCGTGTTACTTGCTCTCCTGTGTACCGGCCTTCAGATGAGAGCTGTGGCTGTGGAGTAGTTCCGGTCGTGTCTGCTAGCTGAGAGCATCCTCCCATCGTTTTATCGTAGACCCATGTCCTGTCTGCACCGTACTTTTCAGAAGAAAACGGACCGAAAAACACCCATGAGTACAGTTTGAGGAAACGGGCTGTTCTCTGGCATATTTAACCCCAAAGCACCGGGTTGGGGAGGGGAAAGGCTGTACGCCCCGTGAGGTGTTGGCATTTCCTCACGTGCGTGTGTCGCAAGTAGCGGCCTCCCCTCAGGAAGTGGCCGT